GCAAGACAGTACCACTTTCTACAAATGGTTGTCCACATAAGAGTGGAACCAAAACAACATATTCATAGTGGATATGGCGGTACTTTTTCAGTCATGGCACAAGGGTGACTGTATACTCCACCTTATTATTTACAGTTCAGATGCAGAATCTTTTGCCAGGTAAGTTAAATGATGATGTTGTCTGTTGCTGACTTATGTCCTTTTTGTGTTCCAGTTGCTATTTCATTTTTATTGATTGTACAAGCCTTGAATGCCCTTTAAGTAGAAATTCAATTATTATATTCCATGAATTAATAAATTCCCCACTTAAATGAGCTGGCAAACAAAAATTATCCAGGAAATACATATCAAAAAATGACCACATTGGACTAGAAGAGAGTGTTTCATGGATGAGTCACAAACAGTAAGAGAGGCAATGTTTGATGCACTGTTCCTATTGAATGATTCATTTAACTGTCAGATCTGAACCGTAAAGAGCAGCAGAGTTATTTTGGTATTTTATGAGCATCTCTGAATAGGATAGGACTAGGTGACTTTTTTTAACTCTCAAAAAAACAAAACAAAAAAACCCCACATCAACATTTTTGTTTTATTATATAGCCAGTGACTGAGGTTAAAATCAATTCCTTTTATCTCTTTGTTTAAGAATTTGCATAAATTAACAAGAAAGCACTTTCTCCCTGGTTTCAGGGACCCTGGTTTATGTCAATTATTGTCTTATTCCACGAGCTGTCATGCTGAGTTGAATGGAACTAGTGGCATAGTAAGTCACTATTCAACATATGTATGGATTGGCTGATTTGCACCGAGGGAGATTACATACTTAATTGTGGGCAATAGTCAAGGGTATTACCTACCTACTGCAAAGTACAGATTGCACAAAATTTACATAGAATTAGTCTTTAATCCCAAGTAAATTGTCAATTAATTTCATAAGAGTATCAGGCACAACAGCTACTGTTTAATTATTGAGTGGGGGCATCTGTGTACAGCGCTACAATGCGGTATATCACATTTTCATTGAAATTTGTGGAGATGCGGTTGGACTGGTTTTCCAGAATCGTGTGTGTGTGTGTGTGTGTGTGTATAAAATCTTCTGAGAGACATTTTCTAACGTATCTTCACAGCCTGACAACTTCGTGACACTGAGGGTATTCAAAAAATAAAATATCAGGAAGGATTTTCTCTCCCCTATAATCAGCATTTTAAATTTCCTGAATGTCACACGCAAGCCCACATGGAAGAGATTAAATGTATTTCTCCTTTCAACCCAATCCATAAGCACATTGAACTAAAATGTATGATTTTAAAGCATGTAAAGCATGAGCTACTAGAGCCACGTCAGACTGGTGGAAACTAGTCCATTAAGGCGAATTGGGTGCCAGTGGGCACCAACAGACCCCCCAAGTGTCCCTATTTCCCAGGGACAGTCCCAGATTTACAGAAACCATCCTGGTTTCTGATTTGATCCTGGAATGTCCTGCTTTTCCTTGGGCGATTTTCATCAGAGAAATGTTGAGGGTATGAAATTATTCAAACCCCGAGCCATAAGTAACTATACAACCTTTAGAATACATCTGAAGGCAGCCCTGCACAGGGAAGTTGTTTTTTTAAAAAAAAAAGTTTAATGTTTATTATGTTTTTATATACAGTGGTACCTCAGTTTTTGAACATCTTGGAAGTCGAATGTTTCGGTTTTCGAATGCCGAAAACCCAGAAGTCAATGTTTCCATTTTCAAATGCACCTCGGAAGTCAAACAGCTTCTGCTGAGGGCCCCCCCCCCATTTGTCTATTGAATTTGCAGGCCGCCCTTTGCATCTCGGTTTTCGAACGTTTCAGAACTCGAATGGTCTTCTGGAATGGATTGCGTATGAAAACCGAGGTACCACTGTATGTTGGAAGCCGCCCAGAGTGGCTGGGGCAACCCCGTTGGATAGGCTGGGTATAAAGATGATGATGATGATGATGATGATGGGATAAGATGTCCCTCTTTTCATTGGAGAAATGTTGGAGGATATACTACTTCCTCAGGCCTAGCAAGGGCCTAGCACTGGGGCTGTGCCAACATCTCAGGGGCTAAGAGCTTGGGTAATAATCCTCTCACCTGGCACATTGCACCAGCATTTGTGAAAAAGGCTTTTCAGAGGCAGGGCAGGGAGAAATACAAGATGGAGCAGGTGCAATAAACACCCACCCACCCACACTCACCCACCCTGCCAAGGGAAACTATGACAGAATGGCTAGAGGTGGCTGCAGCTGAGATCTACGGCTGACTTCAGCCATTTGTCTGCCCTTGTGAGATTGAAAGCCAACAGAGGGGAAGGATGTACCTATGAGCCGGGCTCCAATGGCTGCAGGATTAGCACCTCCTCTTTGTGTACTGTATGGAGATTCCACATGCATTTCACTGAACTCGTGAAGGTCTCAGAGGAGCTTTCACATGCCAGGATACATTTGGGCTTGCATGCATGTCCATTCCCTGCCTCACACACTTTTAATTCCCATGAGTTCAGGCAAGCAACTGAAGAGGGCATTTGTCTATTTCTCTTCATCGCAACAATACTAGCTGGCCAGTGGTATGTCAGCAAAGCTCTACCTTGCAAAATATGAGCCAAGCACATTAGATTGCAATGTCAATTCTATTAAAGGTCCCAAGGGCCAGTTCACACAATGCAACACATGCTGGGCAACTGGGTAGCCATTGGAGATACACAGGGCTGTCACCAGGATCAATCCCCTTCCCCAGCAAAATGCCATCTGCGGGATCTTCCCATGTCAGTGTCCACCCACCCACCAACTGTGGTGGGCTTACTAGTGGCAGCAGCAAGTGACAGAAATCGCTACAATTTACAGCAAGCATCTGTGAGCTGTTACTGTTTGAATTTCTCCAGTGTAGTGAGGATCGGGGGCATGCCATAAAATCTGAAAAATGTGGGTGATTCCAAGCAGGGTGCAAACGGGACTGAGGAGGAAGGGGTTTGTGAGAGGACCAAATTACCCAGAATATAATGTTACTTGGTTGCCTGTGCATGCCTGTGCATAGAAATCTTTTGTGTGATTTAAATGTGGTACAAGAGGTAGTGTCACACCCGTTGCTGTGCATGGTTTTGTCACTCGCCATGCCTGCTGTGAGCACATGGCATCTGAATAGTTGCCCATAACAGAAAGTGGCATTCAGGCTAAAATTATTCCCCATCCCACTGTAGCCTTTCCCAATCGATAGACTAGGCACCCCCAACCTTCGGCCCTCCAGAAATTTTGGACTACAATTCCCATCATCCCTGACTACTGGTCCTGTTAGCTAGGGTTCATGGGAGTTGTAGGCCAAAGCATCTGGAGGTCTGCAGGTTGGGGATGCCTGCTATAGACCTTTAAGACTATAGAATCCATAGATCTAGAGACTTTTAAGTGTTCCTAGGTGGGAGCTCCTCTCATACCTTCATGTGATAAACACAAGGTCTAAATGCAGAGACTTCTAAGGGTGTTTAGTTGAATGTGTGGAAACTGTTGTGCAGTCTCAGAAGAGCCTCTGATTGGCAGAGCGTTGGGGGTGGGGCTTGAGTGCATGCTCCACCCCATTCCACCCTGTTAACCCTTGCATGCTGAGAGCAGTGCTTCCTCCCCCCGAAAAATAGGTGCCAGTACTTACCATGAAGTTGCAGTAAGTGTCACACTTTTTAACAACAAAAAAAGAGAGGTACCAGTACTGTGTTCCTTTGAGTACCCCCTGACAAAAAAAGCACTGGTTGAGGGCTATCCTGGTTACCAAACAAACATAGGTTTTCCTTTGGGGAAAAAACAAGAAAAAAGAGAAGAGAATTGTGAAATGGGTATCACTATCTTATTCACAGAACTATAGAGGTGGTGGAAGGTGCCTAATGGATAATCTAATCCAACCCTATGCAATGTGCTTGTATAGGGATCAAATCTCTCTCCCCGCCCAATCTTTACTGAAAGTTCCAAAAGAACATAATTATATGTGCACTAAACATGGTGAGATGTAAATAAAAGCGAGAGAAAGAAAAAGAGAAACAGAACCTGTGTAGAAGGGAAAATAAAGGGGGGAGGGGGAAAACCCAAAACTGTATATTCTATAAGGTTGTTCTTGTACTTCACCAGACCTTAACCTATCACAGTATTTGTAAGAATGGATTCCAAATATAATTGAATTTGTCCATGGCAAGTCTGTGTTTATATGCAAGTTGTTCATATGTTGCAAGTTTGTATAAGTCTTCAATCCTGTCGTAGAAGGGAGCTGGATTTTTATTTTTCCAATTCACCAGTATCAGTCTTTTTGTTGTGGTAAGGGCACGGATAATCCACTCATATTGTCCTTTTGTAAGGTTCCATGTGCTGGGTATATAATTCAAGAGGATATTTTGCTCTGTATAAGGAAGGTTGTTCCATACAGTTCTGTCAATAGCTTCAGTTAAAGGTAAAGGTAAAGGTACCCCTGCCTGTACGGGCCAGTCGTGACCGACTCTGGGGTTGCGCGCCCATCTCGCTTAAGAGGCCGGGGGCCAGCGCTGTCCGAAGACACTTCCGGGTCACGTGGCCAGCGTGACGAAGCTGCTCTGGCGAGCCAGCACCAGCGCAGCACACGGAAACGCCGTTTACCTTCCCGCTATAAAGCGGTACCTATTTATCTACTTGCACTTAAGGGTGCTTTCGAACTGCTAGGTGGGCAGGAGCTGGGAACGAACGACGGGAGCTCACCCCGCCGCGGGGATTTGAACCACCGACCATATGATTGGCAAGTCCTAGGCGCTGAGGTTTTACCCACAGCGCCACCCGCGTCCCTATAGCTTCAGTTACCTTCTGCCAAAAACCTTTCAATATAGGGCAATGAAAAAACATATGTTTTAGAGAAGCATTATCCCTATTGCATCTCTAACAGTTAGATACCTTAGATAGCCCTTTTTTTAAACAAACGTAATGGGGTCCAGTATATTCTAAATACTATTTTTTGTTGTATGAACCTCAATTTAAGGTCCAGAGGTGTTAAAACAGGTTATCAAACCTGTGACTTTGGCATTATCAGCACCGTGCTCTGACCAACTGAGCTAACTGGCAACTCCTTTTCACATAGTTTCCAGATTTGGCAGAGAAGTGCTGTTAAGCCTAGCTGCTGATTATGAGGCCCATGCCTCCTCAGCCTCTCGTCTGTCAATGGGCTCTTGTGGGCTGGAGATTGTTTTTCAGTCCCATGAAGTGTATGATCGATAGAGCACTGTTTTGAAGAGAGAGGGAGAGAAAAGAAAGACCAGAACGCAATAAAACAGCATCCTTCTTCCGCGTTAACCACTTATGTCCGATGATGGGGAACTAATGCAGTCCTCCACACAGACACTGCACACTAAACAATCATACGGCACGGAATTGGTTGGGTGTTCTCAGCAGAGGCAGAGCAAAAAAGGAGGATGTCAGGAGCAATAACCCTCTTCCGTATGATTTCAGCGTTGTTAAAGTCGCCACCTGATTCCCGGGGATGCTGGAAAGTCACAGTGATCTCAATTTATTAGAAGACCAGCAAGGGCGTATGAAAGGCACATTGGGAAGTGTTCCTCTTCTGTAGCTCCCTGACTTCGAATAAAGCATGTTCACCCCCATGCTGAGTTGGTACAGCACTTAACCGTCGCTAAGTGCAAAGTTGCGGAAACGGTGGGGTTGTGTGCGTGTGGGAGGGGGCTGCTTCCTTCATTTTCGCTGTGCTCTCTCTGCAGCTCAGACAATAGCCTTGGCTATTCAGCCGGCTGGCTGTGTGGTCTGCATGCACACTTTGGGCAGGGGCAAGGACATAATGGTGGCTGGGTGGGAGGTCAAAGAAGCATAGCCGGGTGATGCCAAGAATTCTGCCTTTGTGGGAGGCTGCCCAAGAAGATAACTGATGGCAGCATCACTTAGCTGAGTCAGGAGCCAAGGCTCAGAGCTGAGCAATAAAGCGAAATGTACAAATAAGTGGGCAATGATAAAATAAGAGAGTATTATCTTTTTACGACGCAGTGCAACCTGTTATGGTAACGCCCTGGCCAGTGCGTCAAGGCATGCCAGTAATTTATAGTGCATTACCTCATGGGCCTGTCACTCCACAAGGGACTGTATTACAGGAGCACAGCATGTACATTTACAAATGGAGTGCCAAAGGGGTGGCTTGAATGATGAAGCACTTACGTCTCGGGGATTCTAAAAAGCTCCAGAGTCAGGTGCTTTCGAGAAAGGCCCTGAAACAGGGCAGCCCGATCAATCTTTCCTTAAACGCTTCACCTCGTAGTGAAGAAACCCACAAATAAAGTCTGCCTCTTTCGAAAATGGCATTGCGAGGGGTAACCTAAAGTAAAAAAGAGAAAACAAACTCTCCAAAAGACAGCGCTGTTTATTTATAGTCCTTCCTTTTCCAGCCTGAGCCGTTCCAAAGACTTGCAACTAGGAGCAGCAGCAGATTATAATACAAAATATTAAGTGTTTTCAGAAATGGATGTCGTTGATGGGTCTTCAAACTGCTCTGTTTTTGAAATCTAATTAGGCGACTTGGTAGAAGAACAATTAAAGGGAAACTGAGAGAGAATATTCTACACATGCCTCCGCAGCAATCTTGCTTTTGCTATCTTGTCTTGATTGAGCTCTTGTTTTCACCCTAAATCAGGAGAGGTAGACAACCATCCCCCACAAGCCAAGGGAGCAGCAGGTAATATTGTGCCACCTTTGCTCTTCAGATCTATCATGTGAAGAGCAGAGAAGGTGCAATTTCTCTCCTCATCCCAGTGAAACCGGTGCCCTTTCCCCTCTTGAGATGATTGGTCACCTGCAGAAAGGATGCAGTTTTCTTCCCCAGTGTGTCACTGGACTGCTCAGACAGGTTGAAATATTTCATCCATATAAGCCACATACATGATAATGACAATGATAATGATAATGATAATAAGGTAAAGGACCCATGGATGGTTAAGTCCAGTCAAAGGCGACTATGGGGTGTGGCGCTCATCTCGCTTTCAGCCCAAGGGAGCCGGCGTTTGCCCACAGATAGCTTTCCAGGTCATGTGGCCAGCATGACTAAACTGCTTCTGGCACAACGGTACACTGTGACGGAAACCAGAGCACACGGAAATGCCATTTGCCTTCCCTCTGCAGCAGTACCTGTTTATCTACTTGCACTGGTGTGCTTTCAAACTGCTAGGTTGGCAGAAGCTGGGACAGAGCAATAGGAGCTCACTCTACCACGGGGATTCAAACTGCCAACCTTCTGATCGGCAAGCCCAAGAGGCTCAGTGGCTTAGACCACAGCGCCACCCACGTCCCAACCAATAGGTGAGGCTGTTTAATGCCCATAATTGTTTAGCTCTGCTTCGTGTCTTGCTTGTTTCATTTTGGGGAAATTCCTCAAAAGTGCAGAGCTGTGCTGCTTGGATAATTTGCGACTTGCAAGTAATTAACAAAATTTGTTTTTCTAACCAAACATTAGAACTCTGCTTTTGATTAATTTGCCTATGTACACAGAAGCAGACTTTACAACCAGAGCTATTTCACTTGCTCCTTAAAGCTGAATGGTGTTTTGAGGGACAGAGGTTGCTTAGACTATTGGGTGGAGCTTCTGCTGATGTCCCACATTCTAACATCATTACTGGACGTCTTGAGACCAAATGTGGCTGAGTTTCATACAACAACTTTATCAACCAATGGCAGCCCTGAACAGGAAGTGAGGATGAATTCAGGGGTAGCCAATGGGGTGTTCTCCAAATGTTTTGGACCACAACCAGCCTCTTTACTAGTCATTAGCCATGGGGGTGATGGGAGCTGGATAGCCACAACATCTGCAGAGTACAAAATTGGCTACCCCGGATAAAAATTCTATCATACAATGTGTAATGATCTCTGGCAGGCAATTATGCCCTGATAGGAAGTAATGACTCAGCATTTTATGTATATTTATTTTACAAAAAGACACATCCAGAGCCTGGCATCTCACCTGCTCACATTTGTTTGTTGTCAGTCTGAAATGTTGTCCCTTGCACAGCAGGAAGGACACCAGACTCCCGCCTTTCCTCTTTTCCCCTTCCATTGCCTTCTGATTTTATCTAAACACCTGGGTTGGGGACTGAGAGGCTGACCTCCCCTCTCCCCCTCGACCCAAACTCAGACCTTTGCTTATCTGCTGATTGCCTAGCAATGCTCTGGCTACCTTCCAACTCTTCCTCTCCTTAAGAGCTAATAGAGTCTTCTCTGAACTCCAATTCTGACTTCTCCGATTCTGACAGCCAGTTCTCATCTGCAGAGTTCAGTCTTGTTCATTTAGTTCAATCTCTGAGTCTAACTCATCCCCTGCACTCTGGGGGGGGGGGCACGTTCCTGACACAGAAACAACTGGCATGGGAGTGGGTACCAAATAGTCCCACTCTTACAGTTTTTATTTGTTTTAGCTGCTGCTGTGTTATCAGTGCTGATCCTAGTCCACATATTCAAGCATAAATCAGCCTGGGAACCAACATATTCCCCAGGAACAAACGTAAATAAAAGGTATGATTATGATCTATAAAAATAATTGTCTGGAATTGTCCTGACAAAGGCTACCAGACTGAATCAAGATGCATCTCTTGTTCCCTTCCTGCATCTGCAAGGCTCCTTCATTTTTTAACACTGGATGCTTTTGTCTCTGCAGCCTTACCCAAAGATTTATTTTATTTCATGTATTCCTAAAACTATACCGTAGGTGAGAATTATTTAAAGTGAAGTAGAGGCAAATCAAAACGATGGGCAGAGCAATGACATGTGGGGCTGGAGAAGAGGGGAGAAAATCAAAAGTGGAGAAACAGCCAGAACAAAAGTGTTGCTGGACTCATGCTGGCAAGGTGGACATTCTGGAATTTCCCCTCCCATTGGTTTCAGTGGGAGGGAAAATAAGTATGGCAGGTTCAGGGCTGTGTGCGTGTGCACACACACACACCACACACACACACACACACGTGTGCACACACAAACACATGTGTGCACATACACACACCAACATGAGTCTTTGGCCTCTAACTTTGGCAAAATATTTCAGGTGGATTGGTTGGTTGAAGATGTTCAAAATGCATTGGTCTCAGTAAATAAACTTCTGGACGGCTGGAGCGCCCCTCCCCAATTTGGTGCTTTCTTGTTTTAAAAGCAGCACATCTGCTTAGAAATGGAAGTCAACCAGACACAGCACTTAATTAGATGAAAGCAGCTAGCAGGACTGAGTGACTCCCCCCTCCCCCCCTTGAGTTTAGGGCCTCACACTTATTATTTTTTCCTCTCCAGTAATGGATTGAGAAAACAGGATTGCATTTAATTATCCTGTGATCCCAGGTGGTCTTCATTCTTCCATGCCTGTTAGCCACTGTATACTCAAGAGCCGCTGAACTGAAAGCATTGCAAATGCTTCCGTGGAACCTCTTTTATGTTTGGGAGACAATGGCAAGCGCAGCTAAACATCCCCATATGTCCTTAACGCGGCTTGCCACTTAGTTTTGAAGGTTAGGGTCCTGCTCTGAACAATAGCTGGGCAGCTTGATTTGGGCTTGTTCGCAGATCACAAACATAATACAGTGGTACCTTGGGTTAAGAACCTAATTCGTTCTGGAGGTCCGTTCTTAACCTGAAACTGTTCTTAACCTGAGGTACCACTTTAGCTAATGGAGCGTCCTGCTGCCGCCACCATGTGATTTCTGTTCTCATCCTGAAGCAAAGTTCTTAACCTGAGGTACTATTTCTGGGTTAGCGGAGTCTGTAACCTGAAGCGTCTGTAACCCGAGGTACCACTGTATTCTAACTGAGGGAAGAATAACTTCTAGCCTTCAGACATGACTAAAGTTGGACAAATCTGCCAATGATGGGTCCTCATTTTCCCAGTCTTAAATTCAGCATGCCAAACTTTTGTAACAGTTTGCAGTCTTTTTAAAGTCCTCATGAAAACCCACCAGCATTTTAGTATGCAGTTCTCTCAGTATATAAATTTTCCCCCCCAATATAATGCATTCTTGCATTTTATTTTCACCAATATATGCATTTTGATGCACAATTTCCCTCAATATGTGCATTTTTATATTTTTC